GAAGATTCCTTCTGTCTCCGTTGGTATTTTGAGCTACTATATCTATGATAAAGGAGCTCTGGTAGCGTAGCGGTTACGAAAGGGGCTGCGAACCGCAAGATCAGCAGTTTGAAACTACCAGCTGCTCCGCAGGAGAAAGATGAGGCATTCTGCTCCCGTAAAAAGTAACAGCCTCGGAAACCCTATGCAGGGTCGCTATGAGTCGGAACCGGCTCCATGGCACATAACAACAATAACAACATATCCATGATAAGGTCAAGTTCATCAAATTGTAGCAATTTACCTGTGTTTCCTTTATCAAAACTTGTGTTTTTTTTAATCTTCCTTTAGTCGAGTTCTGATTATCGAGCCATTGAGGCTAGGTCATATAGGTACTGTCTGCATGTTTAGGTGTTCTTGTGCATCTCCCCTCACTTCATATCAGCTGGATGCTCTAGTCCTCTGTGGCTATGTCCTTGGGCTCAGGTATCCCCAGGTCTGACCACACTTTGGACCAACCAGCCCTTCCTCTTCTCTCTTTCATCTCCAGGTCAACGGGAGTCCGTGATTGAACTCAGCCCATTTCTTCATTGCTGCCTTTCCCCCACTTCCACTTACCAGTAGACCAGTGTGGTCGTCAGCAAGCTTATATGCCTGCACATGTGTTCCCTTTGAGTTTTAGCCTTAGATGGTGGTTTGTCCTGAAGGAACTTGATTGCTTGCCTTGATGGCTTCCCTGTGAATAGCTTACTTTTTCTTGTAGTAGCCAGTCATGCTGACATTTATGTTTTGGGTTTTTCCTGATGATCTTTCTTTGAAGATGTATCCTCTATCGCTCTCGCTGTTCCAGGCTGGTCTGCTTGTCCTTGCTAATGGGGATGTCTCACTTCAGAAAGTTCTGGATGGGATTCAGGATTCCACATAAGATCCTGCAAAGGCTCTTCAAGAGGTCTATTTCACTGGGCAAGTTGTAGAACCCCTTTTAGGTATTCCAATCAGTTATAGGCTGAAGACGGGCTTACAAGCTTTCTGTAATCAAGTTTCCCGACATTCCTTTCTATCCAACTCAAAGTGTCTTATTTTACAGTATTAGGCAAGGGCAACCAATATTCATAAGACAGTCAAGCATCTTAGTATGCATTGTTGGTTTGAACTGCCAAATTAGCTGTTCAAATTCACCAGCTGCTCCTTGGAAACCCTAGACAGGGTTACTATGAGTTGGAACTGACTCCATGGCAGTTAGCAATAACAGTAGTGGCTCTGGAATCCTGTGTGGTACTCTAGGATAAGCACTGGATCACTAATGCAAGGTCAGTGGTTCAAACTCACCAACCACTCCATGGAAACCCTCTACAGGGTCTCTATGAGTCAGAACTGACTCCATGGCACTTCACAATAACAAGAAGTGGCCTTATCCCCAGCCAAGAACCAGAATATGAGAGGAAAGAAAAACTAGAAAATCAAATGCAGGTGTATTCTCGCTGAAAGGATCCATTTCAAGTACTCTGAAGAGTGTCACGTTCTCTCTCATCTTTGGGCCTTTTGCCTATGCTGTTCCCTCTGCCTGAAATGCTTGTCCCTCCTGACGCCCTCTCTGCCACCTTTACCTAGACCTTTGTGACTCAGTTGCCAGTTCCTCTGCAGGCTCTCCTCTGGCTGGCCGTGTGCTCCTCTGTGGGTTTCCGTGTCCTGATGATTACCACTCAGCACACGGGGGAGTTGGTATTAGAATTGCCTGTTACTTGGTCAGCCATTGGTGTTGGAGTTAGCAACACAATTTGACTGTTCATTTACATGTATTTAAAATTCCGTCTGAGTCTGTACTTCACTGGGCTGGCAGGAAATTCCATTCAGCCTCATTAGGGCCCTGTACAGTAGTGTTTACGAATCGGGCTGCGAACCTTAAGTTCAGCAGTTCAAAACTACCAGCCACTCCGTGGGAGAAAGATGAGGCTTTCTGCTCCCGTAAAGATATACAGCTTCGGAAACCCTGTACAGGGTCGCTATGGGTTGAAACCGACTCGACGGCACTTAACAACAACAACAACAACCCTTCCTTCAGGAGCCCTGGTGTGGCGCTATGAGTTAATGCGCCAAATTGCAAAGCCCTTTGAACTGCAAGGTCGGCAGTTCAATCTCACCAGATGTTCCTTGGAAACCCTATACTGGGTCGCTATGTCGGAACCAACTCGACAGCACTTAACAACAACAACATCAGCCCTTCCTTAAAGGAGCTCCAGTAGTGTAGTGCTTATGAGTGAGCTGATAACCTCAAAGTCAGCAGTTCGAAATTATCAGCTGTTCCGTAGGAGAGATATGAGGCTTTCTGGTCCCATAAAGATTTACAGCCTGGGAACCACTATGCAGGGGTGCTGTGAGTTGGCACCGCCTCCACGGCACATCATCGCCCTGGTGCTGTGGGTTGGCACCGCCTCCACGGCACATCATCGCCCTTACTTAGACCATAGAACAATCTGAGTGCCTTGAGACCCAGGGACGCTTAGTTTCTATGCCAGGCACTGTGTCTGTTGAGACTGGGAACCCTATGCAGGGGTGCTGTGAGTCAGCACCGCCTCCACGGCACATCAGCGCCCTTCCTTAGACCATAGGAGAATCTGAGTGCCTTGATTCTATGCCAGGCACTGTGTCTGCTGAGACGGGGAACCTGACTGTTAGTGTGCCATCTCAGGGACAGGGGTGCTTAACCTTTCAGTTAGCAGCTAAGCGCTTAACCACTGTAACACTAGAGTACTCTGGTCAGCAAACGCTGAGCCTGTGGACATCCCAGCCCCACAGGAGGACACCTGCAGAAGCTCTCCCCGCCCACCCCCACTCCTCTGGGCTACTTCAATGTGTTTATACAAATACAGCAAATGGTGTGCGTTTTTGCATACTGTGCAACCCCTCACAGGATTTACATAAATACTTTGGCCAGGGCCCCTAGTTTCAAGTGTTGTGGAATTTCATTTTTTTTCTGTCCAGTGGGTTTAATGTGAAGCCTTGTTGTTGGTGCCTTGGTTCCCAGCCACAGACACTTACCCGGGCAACCTGGGAAGGCCAGTCAGGTGGGCGAGGCTGCTGTACCCAGCCATGTGCTTTCCACCTGTCATCCGGCTGGTCTGCTGCCATCCTCAGACTGTGTGACTCTCCTGATGGGGTGGATGTTGGGGGTAGCGGGAGGGTGCGTGAGAGCTACAGGTACAGAGGTCATGTATCCCTCGTCTAGACAAGACAGACCTGAGACTGGCCAGGGGCCATGAGGAGGCTGGGCAGTGACTGTCCACACCCAGACTGCCCTGTGCCCTGTGAACACGCTCTGCCAGGCTTCATGCTACGTATCTAGCTGCAGATCACTACATGGAACTGCCTGCAGCTGCCTCAGCAAATGCAGTCTCCGCTGTTTAGTTTTGCTGACCAGAGTACTCTAGTGTTACAGTGGTTAAGCGCTTAGCTGCTAACTGAAAGGTTAAGCAATTCACTTCAAGCCAACCAGCTGCTCCGGAGAAGAATTATGAAGCCGTCTGCTTTCGTAAAGATTACAGCTTTGAAAACTCTATGGGGGCAGAGTTCTACTTGGTTCTCTGGGGTTCCTATGAGTTCGAATTGACTCGGTAGCAATGGGTTTGTGGTTTTATGATCAAAAGTGATATTTTCAGACTAGTGACTGAGGTGAATGAGGTCACAGAGCATGTGAGGTATGCGCATATGTGCGCTATCCCACAACTTGTTGGCATAATGTCATCACTCTTCCCGTTGTCTGTGTGTGCTTGCTGTTTACATGAGTGTATGGTTCGCAAAATTTCAATAGTGAAACCCTTCAGGAAAGAGATGCTGCCTTAGCGAAGCTTCTGCAGTGAGCATAGGCAGCACCGTCTGGGCAAAGAAATGGGGATGCTCAGATACTCTCAGAGGGGCAACGTCTCAGGAGAACAGATATGAATTACGATGTCCGTAAGTTGTCTCACCATGCTATTCCTAGAACAACAAGGGTGTTGAATCTTGCCTGTCCCAAAGCCATTGTTGCACAACAACTCAGTTGTTCACAAGCTGTGCGCTGCACCATCCCAAACATCACTCGTCATTGCTCTGATCAGTTATGAAAACAGTCTTCTGACAGGTGACAATTAAATGTCTGGGAGAAGTCTTTTTCTAGTTTGTGCAAATTATGGTCTAATAGTGACCCTGACCAAAGCCTTTAAAACACAGTTGTAATCATTAAATATCATAAATACAACAAATGGTAAAGCAGAAGAAGCAAAGTATTGAGAAAGCAGAATTGCTTTTGTGTGAAAAAAAATAATTTAAAGCATTTTTTACTGTATTCACATGAACCACATATGGTAGCTGTGCGCCGTGGAGTTGGTTCCAACTCATCGCAACCCTACACAGGGTTTCCGAGGCTGTAAATCTTTACGGGAGCAGAATGCCTTATCTTTTTCCTGCGGAACAGCTGGTAGTTTCAAACTGCTGACCCTAAGGTTTGCAGCCCGGTTCGTAACCACTACGCTACCAGAGCTCCTTATAGAAGCGTAATGTTTTTAAATGCCCAAAACCAATTGCAGAAGAGCAGGAAGTAAGGAAAGAGGCATAAATCAGAATTAAATAATTCCCACCCAAAGTTATATCAAATCAGATATTCAAGAGTCATTAATATCCTGTCTGCAGATTTTGTGGTTATGTGTAATACTAAATATTTGTAGATACTTATAAGTAACTTGTTTCAAAGTATGTTTTTAAGAAGAAGAAAAAAAAGTCCCTTTTTCTTAATCTCTTTCTTGCAGGTGTGGCGCTGTGGGATAATGTGCTGAACCACAAGGTCAGTGGTTCAAATTCACATCCACTCCTTGGAAACCCTATACAGGGTTGCTATGAGTCAGCACCGACTCAACAGCACTAAATGACAAAAACAGCACTGATGATTACAAAGAAGTTTTTCTCCAACATGTGAACACATTTATCGAAGGACATGTTGGTGCTTTAAACAAAAACAAATACTCTCCATTTCTTTTCTTTTTTAACAGATCATGTGGCAAAGGAACCCGTGGAGGATACAGACCCCAGCACTTTATCCTTTAACATGGTAGGTTGCAAATTTTACATGAATACTAACGGCTCTTGGTTTTTTATCTTTAATTTTTTTTTTTTTGCATCTTATTACTGTGTTTTTACATTAGAATCAGAAATACCAAGATAAGATTTTTCCAAGGTAAGTCATGGTATTCTCTAAGACATAAGTTTCCCCAGAATAAGACTGGTGTTGGATTATTTTCTTGTTTTAAACATACCAGAAATCATCTTAGAGTATGTGAAGTTTATGTCTACTTCTAATATTTGTCTATTTTTAATGCCCCTCCGTTGAAATATTTAACATGAGATTAAAGGAAAAAAATAGCACTACTTTGTAATTATTGAGTACTGTTTATATGCCATCTAGACACACTATTTGATTTGCTTTTGCAATCATGTTTAATTCTGATATTAACTACCCATTTTACAGATGAAGAACTGAGGCACCAGTTGGTGCCAAATTGGAAACAGCCAAACCTTTTGAGCCCCACTCCCTCCATATCACCCCCTTAACTTTTCTACAACTTGTCTACTGCTTTAAAGTTTACCCAAACTTTCACATACATGTTTCATCCCTCAGATTCTCCTATATGATGGTGGGGCAGATATTTTTATTCCCATTCTACACTTTAGAAACTATAACTTAATTGATTTCTATAAAACCACCCAGCCTGGAGTCCTGCTCTAATATGTGGTATTGCCCTGGTGGAGCACTGTAGAATCAGCACTGGTCTTTGAACCACAAGGTTGGCTGTTCAAACCCGCCAAGCTGCTCCTCAGAAATCCTATACCAGGTCACTATGAGTTGGAACCAACTCACCGGCACTTAACAACAACATGATCTAATAAATACCTTTGACAACATTAAATGTGTTTCTATGCATATTTGTTGTTGTTATGTGCCGTTGAGTCGGTTCCGACTCATAGCGACCCAGTATAGAGTTTCCAAGGAGCGGCTGGAGAACTTGAACCACTGACCTTGTGGTTCCAACCAACTTTGCAGTTCAGCGCATTAACCCACAGCACTACACTAGGACTCCTCCATGCAGAGTGTATGATAATTTCCTTTTATTCAGAATGCTTCCCGTTGCTTACAGGATTCAGTGTATACTCCTGGATGTGGCAGGCCAGATCCGCCAGGACCTTATCTATGAGACATTTGGATTTCATTTCCAGCCCCATTTTCCCCTGTCCACCTACCTCCAGTACATATCTCTGCTTCAGGCTGTGTGGACTTTTATTCACTATTTGTTCACAGTCACCCGATGTGCCATATATAGCTATTGCCTGCACCTCAAATACCCATGCCCTCTCCCCAATCATACTATCCCTGTAACAAGGAAAATCTCCCTACTTCTTCAGCTATTGAACTCGTGTGCATTCCCTGATCCGTGTATGAAGACTTTGCTGCCTGACCTGGGGCCTTCAGGTGCCCCCTTTTCCATAGCCCGTTCCCAACTTTTTGTCATATTGTACTGGAATTATCTACCTGAATGACTTTCCTCAAGATTGTGTTGGCCATCTGCCCATATGCAGTGCTGGGCACAAGGCAAGTAACATAGATGGTGGGTGAGTCAAGCTTCTCAAGAGCCTAACACAGCACCACACTCAAATGTCTTTGCCTAACTTTCAGGGTTCTCCTTGTAAGCTGCTCCATCATTTCATCTCCCACCTCATTAACCTCTGTCCCCCAGGAAACGGCTCTGCTTCAGTATGGTCTGTCTCCTGTCCATTCCACTCTTCCAACCACTAGGTCATTGCTCCTGCTGTGCCTGCCATCTGCCACCACCCTGCTCCTTCCAAATCCTGAGCTTCCTCCAGGCCTAGTTCCAACGGTGAAATTTTTCTCACTTTTGGCCTGGTTGCTCATCCTTGCAGGATTTTCTTAGATGTTTAATTAACACAGTGTGAACATATGCAGATGTCTCCCAGTCTATCTGAGGAAACAGATAAATAATTGTAAACTGACAGGTGGGTGTTACAGGGCAGATGCATAGACACATGTATATACAGATGGGTGTTGTAAGGTCTAACTCAGTCTGGTAGAAACTCAGTTTGTCTTCAAATCAATCTCTGTCATTGATCTTTTGTGGGAAGTGGTCTGAGACTTCTAATGGTTCCGAACCTTTACTGTCTGACTCCAAAAAACCTCTACTACCTTGAAAGCAAAGCGTTTAATTAAACATTAGTTTCATTTTCTCTTCATCAAACAAGACATGGGTGAGGTCCACAGGAAACTTGGGAGGTACAACTTTGATCTTGCTGGAGGATAGTGGGCCCCAGTCCAGAGTGAGGGCCGGAATCCACAAGGCGAGCGTCTTCTTACTCCTCTCACGCAATTCTTCAGAGAATAACTATATTACTTAATGTGAAGATGAGTTTCTAGAATATTAAAAACAAAAATAACAACAACAAAAGACTGGCTGCTGTTGATTCTGATTCATAGTGACCCCATGATGTCAGAGTAGAACTGTGCTCCATTGGGCATACATCGCTAGGGCTTTCTTCCCAGGCATCTCTGGGTGGATTTGAACCCCCAACCTTTCCGTGTGTATTCAAGCGCTTAACCATTTGTGCCACCTCGAGAATAATAAATACCTGCATATAAGGTACAAACAAGTAGCCTACAGATGTGATTATAAGAACATTTGTGATTTCGAGTTTCCTGCACCTGTAATATCCCCAGTGAATGCATTTAATTAGGACCTGATTTTCAGATCTTTGTATAATCAACAGGAGAGTTTCCTTTTGAATTCTGTCCTGTTCAGCCCAGGACAAAGTTGTCCATTAGTGACTACGACCCAGGACTCATACTAGTTGACTTAAATGACTGTCACAAAAATGGTGAGAAGAGCTGTCTCCATAATTCATGACAATGAATGCATTTCAATTGTAAACTGCAGGAAATCAACAGCAAGATAGCAGTGCAGAAAAGAGAGGAAATGTGGGTTAGTGGTCAGACCTGAGGAAATTAGGAAGGCCGTTTCCGTTTCCATTTCATGCTCACATTAACCTCTTGTCCACCTTGGTTTCATTTCTACAAATGGAAAATAAAGACAATCAGGTCTACTGATAAATCCCAGGGCAAACACTTTGAAGGTTTCTGATTGAAAGCATGACTTTCTCAAAGCAAAACATTCTTCTCACTTTGATCTGACAATGGACTATTTATAAATAACTCTCCTTTTTTGTTGATTCCTACAGTCAGACAAATATCCCATTCAAGATACTGGACTCCCTAAAGGTATGTACAATTAATATAACTATTTGAACATCGTGATTGATTTAATATCTTGAACAAAGCATTAGTCAAAGTAATGGCTTGTCATTTAAAGTTGTAAAATGGAAACTTACCTACAGATTAGCTCATGACCTATTACTTGATTATTTCAGAAATTCATATACTTGTTTAAATCTGTATACTCTTTCATAGCTATTATGAATCAGATTCCTGTATTTAAAAAAATAATTCATTTTTTACTGTGATGAAATATGAGGGGCTTCTAATAGTTGTGTCAAAGTAGAATTAAAAAATAATGAATTTTTTTTCACAAAAAAGTGTTTTTGAAAGCCTCTTCTATATATACCATACACATTCGTGTGTGTATATCTGTATTACATATATATATATATATATGTACATATATATAACAAATTGCTGTTTTGACATTTTTTACATGTGTGTGATTTGGTGACTTAAATACCTTCATCATGTTATACAACCATCACGACTCTACCTTCCCAGTTTTTCCTATCATCTGTGATGTTTTTAACATGCAAATTCTTGGAGTCCTGGTGTGGCGCTGTAGGATAAGCACTGGACTGCTAACTTGCACGTTCAGTGGTTCAAACCCACCAGCCAACTGTTGTGAGTTGGAACCAACTTGACGGCACTTAACAAGAACAATACCTGTATAAAGTGAAAGTAACTAGGACTCTGGGTTGTTTTTTAAGAGAAGAGGGATTTATTCACTTAGGGAAGTGTGGTGCGGAGGAATGCAAGTGTTTCGTATTGTTGGACTTGGTCTACCTTGTGTGGACTGCCTTCTCAGGAAGGCCTGCCCATGTGGTGTCCATGTGACAGCCTGTGCCTCCAGCGCCTGCTCAGTATGGCGAAGGAAGAGGGGATTTGGGGGACGTTTGAGTCCCGTATCCATTCCTGAATCAATCATTGCCATCAAGAGGATGGAGGAGTTAGCCAGGTTTGAACCAGTGTTCCAGCCTTGGACATTGGGTGGGAAGGAGCAGACTCAGTTCTATCCCAACCACCGGAAAGAGGGTCTGTTACTAAATAAAAGTCCTCCCCAAAGCGATTTTTTATTTATACATATATATAAAACCATTAAGCTAATGTTTTAGGCATGATACAAAACATAGTTTGTTAGACCAAAACCAGTTGCTGTCAACTCAGCTTTGACTCCTGGTGACCTGAGGTGTGTCCCAGTAGAACTGTGCTCCGTAGGGTTTGCATTGACTGATCTTTCAGAAGTAAATTGTCAGGCTTTCCTTCTAAGGTATCGACTTCACTTCAGACTTGAACCACTAACTTTCCAATCAGTTGCGTGCATGTAACCATTTGCACCACCCTGGGACTCCTAGCGAGGCCTTAGTCTATGATGATCATCACTGCAGAGTGGTCTGCAAAACTGTGCTCCAGACTCCAGTCAGAGTGAGGCAATTATCTGGTCGTGTGCTGACAACCCCAGGCTAAGGGCTAGGATGGGATGCAGTCAGAGTGTATTGGCTTCAGAAATGTCAGAGGTAGCAAGTACCTCTTCCTGTTTCCCACAAAGCACCTAGGCTTCCTGGTGCCATGAAGGGTTGGATTTCCCAGCAGGTCTAATTTGGGGTTCTGCCAGAGCTCCTCTCTACTCCCTTCCCTGTTCCCAGACTCTTCTCTGAGCTCCCTGAAATGACATCATTAAAGTTTCATTCCTGTCACTCTTGACTGTCCCCATCATGACGGTGGTATAGGCAAAAGCGTCTGAAGGCCAGATTCAAGTCCAAATTCTGGCTGTCCTAGGGAAGGCTGTGTAAGCTCCAACCTCTCTGGACTTCAGTTTCTCTTCACCTTCACCTTCCCCCTCTTTTTGTCGCTGGCTAAAGACCTTTTAAGGCCATTGAATGTCATTTCCTGTTTTGGAAGAAAAAGATTGTTGATTAGCAACCTGATGGTATCTGCAGTCACGGTACAGTTGGGTTTCACTTAGAACCAGAGTTTTATAAAAACTTTCATGAAAATTATAATGAGATTCCAAGGAACATGACTGTGAGAACTCTACCCTACACCTTCCTTTTGTCCTTATTCATGGGGGACAGTATCAAGTGCTTAATTTCTTGGCTCCAAATAAATAGGCATTTTATATGCAAACGATTCTTATTTACAACATTTACATTCAAGAATATAATATGTTAATGTATGCTAATATTTTCAACATAATCCATGGGGCCAATATCATCATTGCACTCTTTAGTAACTTTCTTGTTAAAGTTCTTTTTAGGGAAAGAAAACCCATGTGGGTTAATAAAGAGACTAGTATATAAACTTAAAAGTCAACACTGTATAATTCTACTTAAGCATAAACTAGGATTCAACTTGTAAGTGAATTAGGACACGGAGCTACTTTATTTAATGGGAGTCCCTGGTCGTGCAAATGGTTAGCTCAAAGGTTGTTGGTTTGAACCCACCCAGAGACACCGTGGAATCCTGGTGTGGTACTGTAAGTTTAGCTTTGGATTGCTAACCACAAAGTCAGTGGTTCAAACCCACCAGCTGCTCCTAGGAACCTCTGTACAGGGTCACTGTAAGTCAGAATTGACATCACAGTGTGAGAAACGTTGACAAATGCTCAAGTAATCCAATCTGTACCCATTTTAGTGAGAGTGAGGTTTTCTTTATTCGATTTTCCAAAATCAGGCGCTCAACATAGTATTCACGGGCACACGGGCCACATGGCCCACAACAAACGGTTTTAATACGTGTCTCCAAAAAGCCCCTCCTCCAGTTCCTGTTCCCCGCCCCCCTACACAATTCTATGGATTGTGTCCCATTTTCCCTCCCCCCCCAGAGAAGCCAGAATGGCTAGCCCATTGTCTTAATGGCTGTATTCTTATTGAAATTTCCTAGTCCTAGAACAGCCAGGTTGCATATCCCGCCCTGTTTGTAAATCAACAATCTGTTTGTTAGGTCTAGCAATCTCATGAATTCCTGATGATGACCCGTACCCACAGTTATTTCTCACGACTGCACTGAACAAAAGCAGCGACAGAGATGCTTCTGAAAAAGGTTTAGTGATCTGCTTCTGTTGTTGTTGTGTGCCGTGGAGTCAGTTCCGACTCATAGTGACCCTGCACAGGGTTTCCGAGGCTGTTAATCTTTTACGGGAGCAGAACGCCTCATCTTTCTCCCGCGGAGCGGCTGGTAGTTTCGAACTGCGACCTTGCGGTTTGCAGCCCGATTTGTAACCACTGCGCTACCAGAGCTCCTTAGGTCACACTCTTGAAAACTCTACAGGCGTTCTACCCTGGGATGTATGGGGTTTTCAGGAGTCAAAATAGACTCACTGGCAACCACCCATTCCAATTCAAAGTGACCCGGTATGATAGAGTAGACTGCTCCATAGGGTAGACTGCTTCATCTTTCTCCTGAGGATCAGCTAGTGGATTCGAACTACCTGTTGGTTAGCAGCCCAATGCTTAATCCACTATGTCACCAGGGCACTGTGTTACAGCAACAACTTTATTGAATAAGAACTTTTTGTAATTGGTTTTAACAGTTTTCATATGGTTAAAATTCTAAAGTCTTCAAAAATTATTTTCATAAGGAGATTAAGCATAGTTTACAGAATCTTTAGTATACTGCTAAATTTGTTACTAATTTATTCATAAACAATATAAATCTGTTCTTTAACCCAGGCCAAACTAGCGTGATTCTAAATAATATAGTTTTACTATAAATCAACTCTGGAAATCTAGTGAAATGTCAGTGATCAGCATCTGTTTTTGAAGTGGGATGTGTTATAACTGTTTTCTGATAGGGTAAAAGCCGGTAGACAGATGCACAGTTTCTGCATCAGCCACCTGACCCCTGGTTTTAGAGAATTCTGGGAGTGTGTCTTGTCAGACCCCTTTTTCCATGAGAATCTGTAGGCTCTAAACTCGGGACTGGAATAAGAGTGGATTTGATTTTTATCATGTGATGTCTGGGTATCTCCTAGAAACTGCTGCCTTGAGTGTTCTGAAGAGAATGTGACTTGATGTATTTTGAGAGAAACTGCCTTTGGGTAAAGCATTGAGTTTTGAGGCCTAATTTTGGGGGAAAATTACACTTTGAAAGTAGTCACATCAGTAAAGATTATATCATCTCCATTTTCTCTAGCCTCCCTGATCTTTGTTAAAAAAGAAAAAAAACAAACAAGCAAAAAACCCCATATAGTTAAGCTAAAGAAAAGTAAAGTAGACTGATTCTATTGGTAAGAAACCTTAAGAAACTTACATTTAAATATGGCTTCTAGTTTGGAGGCCTCTAGAGCAACTTGTTAATAACTAAGTGTGACGCTGTAGGATAAGCCCTGGACCACTAACCACAATTGTGGTTTGGCAGTTCAAACCCACCAGCTGCTGCTCCTCAGAAACCCTATACAGGATCATTATGAGTCAGAACCACCTTGATGGCACTTAGTACCAAGAACAACAGCAAAATGCAGACGTAGTTGTTCCGTCTGAAAAAGTTAGGACAAAAAAATTAGCACTTTCATGGAAACCAGTAAAATAGTTCAAAAGTAAAAATGTCCTAAAACCTGCAAGCTCTCCTCTCCTGACAGGAAACCAAATCTCCCTGTGCCCAACACTATTTTCTGTGTGTCCTTGTCTTTTCTTTCTGTAAATACCACGTCATCCTTCCAAACCTTGGAAATGTTCCGTTATTATAGTAATAAGTCCCCTACCTTTCGATTATGACTAGAACCCAAAGGTGGCTAGTCTCCAAAGATGCTTCTTTTTTACATGTATGTAGGTGGGCAGAGGGGAGGCAGAAGGATATGGATGGACACTTAGTGTCTGGATATCACATAAGAAAAGTTGCCAGTTACATTCAAATGGCATTGTATTAAAAAAAGCAATCTGTGTTCATGGTAAAGACATCAGTCATTGTGATAGTTAGTATGGGGAAACCATATGCCCATTGCTTTTTGTTTTTTAACACTGTGCATTTAGATGAAATTTTACAGAGCAATCTGGTTTTCCATTCAACAGTCCATGCATATTTTGTTTCATGATGTTGATTGGTTCACAGCATTTTCTGCAATCTGCATAATGTAGCAGCACTCTTCTGCTTTCTCCTGGTGTTTACCACTTCCATTCATCCCTGGTCACATGCTGCCCCTTTTGGTCTCATCTGGCTGATTGTTCTAAGAGCCGAGTTACCTCTGTGGTGTTATTGTTCACTGAATAGATCTGTCTGTTGTTTGGCTGAAAGGTCAGCCGTAGAGGTGAATTCAGTTTCAGACCTGGGGATGACTAAAGACCACAGTCTTTGGGGTTTCACCAGTCTCTATAAGACCAGTAAGCCTGGTCTTTTTTTTTTTATCATTTTGAGTTTTGTTCCACATTTTTCTCCCATTCTGTCCAAGAGCTTCTAGAACAACCCCTTTCAGAGTGGGGGAGTGGTCAGTAATGTTGGCTGGGCACCATATAATTCTGATCGCGGGGTCACGTAGGCTGATGTACACATGGTCCATTGGGTCTCAAGACTAATTGTTTTCACGTGTCTTCGAGTTTCTTTACTCCGCTTTGCTTTGGACGGGGAGAGACGAATAGTCTCACCTTAGATGCTTGCGCCCAAGCTTTGAAGACCCCCAGTCATTACCAGAGGATGTAGGACATTTTCTTCATGGATTATATTGTGTCACTAGGCCTTGGTGTCCCCTGAGATTATGGTCCTCATTCCCTAGGCCCAGTGACTCATTGCCTCAAGGTGTTTGATTGTGGCCAAGAAGTTTTCATAATGTTGATGTTGTTATGTGCCGTGTAGTCGGTTCCGACTCATAGCGACCCTGTATAGGGTTTCAGAGGCTGTAAATCTTTACGGAAGCAGAACGCCTCATCTTTCTCCCGCGGTAGTTTTGAACTGCTGACCTTGCGGTTCACAGCCCAATTCGTAACCACTATACTACCAGAGCTCCTGCTTTTTATTGTGAAGAATCAAACTTGAGTAGGCATCAGAATTAAGTGAGGTACTAGGTAACATTGCAGGTTTCTGGACCCTTTGAGATTCTAATTAAGTAGGTCTGGAGTGGTGCCCTGGTGGAGCAGTGCTTTAAGCAACCTGCTGCTAACCAAAGGTTGGTAGTTTGAACCCCCCAGCCACTCCATGGGAGAAGGGTGTGGCAGTCTGCTTCCCTATGGATTCCAGAGCATTGGAAACCTTAGGGGGCAGTTCTTCTCTGTCTTATAGGGTCCTAATTAATTCCAGGGCAGTGGGGCTTTTTTGTTGTTTGGAGTACAGCCAATCAGGGAATCCACAGTAGCATAGTGGTTACAAATAGGGCTGCTAACCACAAAGTCAGCAGTTTCGAAACTACCAGATGTTCAGCCAGAGAAAGATGAGGCTTTCTGCTCCTGTAAAGATTTACAGTCTCGGATATCCTGCGCAGGGTCACTGTGAGTCGGAACTGACTCCATGGCACATAACCACCAACCAGTACCACAGGTGATTCGGATGCAGAAGAGCTGGGGGTTTCTGTCTGAGAATGTTAATAAAAGATCTCGCTTTTCAATGGCCCTGGAACTTTTAAACTATAAACTAATTTTAGTTTCAATTTCTCAGATAATAACTTTCAAGAAAAAAAAATCCTCTATGCTAGTCAGAATTGTGTAGGAGGTAATAAATACAGTCTCTTATTTGAATAAATGTAGCAACCCTGAGTCTTGGTGTGGCGCTAAAGGATAATGCCATTTTGAGCCGCTAGGTCGGTGGTTCAAACACACCAGTTCCTCATTGGAAACCCTCTGTAGGGTCATTGTGAGTTGGAACCAACTCCGTGGCACTTAAAAACAACAACAACAACAATATATCCTAGGTGCATGAATGCTAATGTAAGTGCAAAACAATGAATCACTCAATCTCTCACTCACTCCTGCCTTTCCAGCACAGACATAAATGGTTTTCTGTTAAAGCTGTGTAATACTGATGTTTTACATGGCAGTAAATAAGTATTTTATAGCATACTACATTTCTGCCAACTGTCAAGTTTGAAATGCAATGTTAAATTCTATGCTTAAAGATTAAAATCTGATGAAACAAAATCAGCTTTTGACCATTTGATGAGGGAAAGAAGAGTATCTTCAATTAATGATGCTGGGAATGTGGAACTGGAATCCACATGCCAAAAGTGAAACAGATTCTTATCTCGTATCATCCACAAAAACAACTTTAGAATGGATTACAGACCTGAATGCGCCCTGCAATTCTTAGAACAAGCAGAGTGCAACACTGTCAGGCCTAACTTTTGACAGTGGATTACCTGATGTCATAACAAAAGCACAAACAACTAACGACAAAATAAAGGAAAGCAACCTTCAGAAAAGAAAAATTAAACATTTTTGTTTATCAAAAGGCTTTACCAAAAAAAGGAAAAGTCAAGTTACCAATTGGGAGAATATCTTCAGAAACTGTATACTTGACAGATAATAACCGAAAGATACATAAAATTTTGACAACTTAACAGAAGGTCATATAAGCCCGTCATAAAATGAGAGTTAAATAGGCCTTTCCTCAAAGAGAACATTCAAATAGCCACTAAACCTATGAAAAGAAATTCAGTGTCATTAGCCATTGTTGTTATATGCCATCAAGTCACTTCCGACTCATTGTGACCTGTATAAGGTTTCAGAGGAGCAAATGGTGAACTTGAACTGCCGACCTTGAGGTTCAAACCGACTTTGCAGTCCAGAGAGCTACAAATCAAAGCCACAAGATACCTTCACTCCCACTAAGATTAAAAAGCATTCCTGGTGTGGCACTGCAGGGTAATGCACTGGATCGCAAGGTTAGTTTGAACCGTAAGGTTGGTGGTTCAAACCCACCAGCTGCTCTGTGGAAACACTATACAGAATCCCTATGGGTCAGAACCGACTTGACGGCACTTAACAACAACTAAGATTAAAAAGGACTCCTGGTATAGACCTGTGGGATCAGCCCTGGACTACAAACTGCAAGGTTGGCTTCAAACCTACCAGTAGCTCCCTGGAAACCCTACACAGGGTTGCTATAAGTCAGCACTGACTCGATGGCACTTAACAAGATTTAAAAAACAAGCAAAAAAAAAACCCCATAAAATAACAAATATTGATTTTTAGAGGATTTGGATCCATTGTTGATGGGAATGCAAAATGGCATAGCTGCTATGGAAAAGGCTAAACACAAAACTACCATATGACCCAGTACTACTACTAGATATATACCCAGAAGACTTGAAAGCAGAGACTCAAAATGTTCTTTACAGAGTGATTCACAATAGCCAGAAGGTAGACACAACACCAGGTCCATCAGATGTCAGCAATGATAGTCCTTGTTCTATGGCCTCTTCTGAATCTGGTTTGAATTTCTGGCAGCTCCCTCTTGACGTATTCCTACAACCATTTTTTTAATTACCTTCAAACATTTATTTGCATGTGATGTTAATGATATCTGATGATTTCCTCATTCTACTGAGTCACTTTTCTTTGGAGTAGCCACAAACATAGATCTCTTCCAGTTGGTTGGCCAGGGGAGCTGTCTTCCAAATTTCTTGGCATAGATATGAGTGAGTGCCGCTAGTTCCGCATCAGTTTGTTGAAACAATTCAATTTGTATTCCATCAATTCTTAGAGCCTTGTTTTTGCCAGTGCCTTCAGTGCAGCGTGGCCTTCTCTTTCAATACCACTAATTCCTAATTATATACTACCTCTTGGAAAGGAGGCAATTAGCCACACAATCCCTATCCTTCACCTAGATTCTCTATCCTCCTCCTAGTCCTCATTGTCCTTCATCTGTTGTTCCAGGTGAACCAAGACTAGTTGTTTGCCTTGGATAGCCACTTGCAAGCTCTTGAGACCCCAGGCTCTATGTAACAAAGCACCAGCCAATCCTTTTTAGCACAGTGTTTCTGTGTATTCCTTCCATCTTTTGATGCTTCCTGCATCACTCAGTTTTTGCCCATAGAATCAAGGCTTAATTTTTTTCTTCAATTCTTTCCTCTAGTAATCCCCACTTTAGCACTAGAACTGAAAGTGTTTGGGTTTCACTTTTGGCAGGTGCCTGAATAGTTAGTAAAATGTGAGACAAATGAATACAATCAGTGGAATTGGATATAAAGTACATGAGAGGAAGGTGTGTTTGATAACTCCTTGTTCTAGGGTTCTGGGTTTGGCTGAATGCATGACACACAACACTGTAGAGTGAGACCGGCTGCAGTTTTATTAGTCACGTATGCTCACAGCTGGGGGCGGGGCACCCACGCACCACGCAGGGCCACGTGGGGCAGATAAACGTCTCGGGACTGTGAAGGGAGCATCCACACACCACGTAGGACCACGTGGACAGCACTCAGGGCGGATGAACATCCCGGTACTGTGGGGGGAGCACCCACACACCACGCAGGACCACGTGGTGCAGATGAACATCCCGGGACTGTGGGGGAGCACTCCCACACACCACGCAGGACCACGTGGTGCAGATGAACATCCCAAGACTGTGGGGGGAGCACTCATGCACCACGCAGGACCATGTGGGGCAGATGAACATGCCGAGATTGTGGGGGAGGGGGGCACCCACACACCACGCAAGACCACGTGGGGCAGCACTCGGGGCAGGTGAACACCCTGGGACTGTGGAGATGCAAACTTTGTGGTATCGAGCGGGTGGGATGCCCTCTGGTTCCTGTAGGAGGATGTGAATGGCTTGTTTTGGCAATTTTGTGGCTCTCAGGGAATTCAGCCCTCCACACTGGGATAAGCAGACACTGTGCCTGTCTTATTCGCAGGAGCAGAGTCCGAAGGGGAACTTGGGTTAGGCCATTCGAGGCCCTCCCGGGTTCATCAGCTATCAAGGCGGCATGTAATACTGGGTAGTGTTCACCACAGAGTGTGCACCTTCTGTGTCAAGTTTTGTATCATTTTTGTTCTTCCAGCTGAGGATTGTGAGACGCTTGTTTTGAACTCTCCACCAAATTCTGATGAGCAGCATCAGGTAAGAATGATGATTCACTTATTTTTATCCATAGGGCGTGCTAATCTAACTAGAACCTTTTAGGAGTTAGCTGCAAAAATCAACAAGGAATAGGATTTGTAGATAATAAACTTAAGTTTGAAAATTATCTTTATGCATCCCAGAAATATAGCATCTCTAAGGAGCTCTGGTAGCATAGGGGTTACAAATTGGGCTGCGAACCGCAAGGTCAACAGTTCGAAACTACCAGCTGTTCCACGGGAGACAGATGATGCTTTCCGCTCTCATAAAGATTTACAGTCAGAACCGACTCCATGGCACATAACCAACCAACCAACTAAACCCTGCTTGTATTGCTTCTACTGACTATAGCAACTCTCCTCATTATTGGAAAGAAATATGTTACCAAACTTGCCAAGAATAGGCCAGCCACGCAACTGAGTTCGAAAGGAGAGTTGCTTTCTTCCTCATTCAGTTGATATGATGCTGTGGATGGGAATTTCTTTTCTTAACTGCAACAAACCTGATAGTCTAATAGGATTTCTGTATGTTTTATAAAACATTGTAAATTGCTAGTTATATCAATTTTTTTCAAATATTAGAAATCAGACTTCATCATAATGATACTTCTTTGTTTCCAAAGAGCAACGAAGTATACTGTTTTCTGACTGTAAAAGGCTGTTTATTTTTTGTCAAACACGTGGAGAATGGTTCTGCTGTGCATCCTTGCAGATTCCCTGAGTCACTATGGTTTTGTGTAGCCCATCTCTCTGCACTTGCTCAAAGCTGGAGAAGAGATTGCACAATACCTCCCATCTGCTACACTGTATTCAGAGCATTAATGTCTTAAAAAGCATGTCTTGCCTCAAGATATGCTGGTTTGGTCCTGTCCTTCTCATAACACCAAGTTAATTTTTGAAAAGATACATTTGAAGTTTTGTTTAGTCTTGCTTGAAAACCATTAGTGGTAATAAATCTTTATTAGTGTAGTCTTGAGTACTCAGAACCTCTTTGCAGTAAGACAAAACTATGCCTTAGTTGATAAAATTAGAAATGTAAATCAGGAAGCAGAGCTCTTGAGAATTCAAATGTCCATTTGTAGAATAGTTTAACCAGTAAAGACATCTGGAATCGGTGGCTGCGTGTAGCATGTTCTTCTTCTTTGTCTTGATATTTAGCAATTTGGGGAGATTATAGTCTCTCACTGAATGGAAAAATCGTTTAATAAACCTAAATATACTTCTGTTTCATTTTGTTTTCTTGCAATCCTTAATTTAACCAAATTCTGCTCCTGAAACATTTTTTTGTGGGATGATACAGACTCCCTTGAAGTTAAAGAACAGTATGTTTGTTTAATTTGTTTAACAGTATGTTAATTTAATTTACAGAAAGTAAATTAGGATACTGTATAGCACTTTTTCCATTTTGAGTATTAGATTTAAGGTTCTATCAAGTAAAAACTACCCTAAAAGATGAAATTATATTTATCAACTAAAAAAATAGGGAGAACCTAGTTGAGATTCTTATTCATTGTTTTCAAAATGGAGTATGTTATATTCCCATAAAAAGTGGAACTGTACCTACCTATTTCAATTGGTTATTTCTTTGTATAATCTATACTGTAGGATTTAAAAAACTGACAGTTGTTAAGTGCCGTTGAGTCGGTTCCAACCCATAGCGACCCTGTATAGGGTTTCCAAGGAGCAGCTGGTGAGCTTGAACCACCGACCTTTGTAGTCTGGTGCATTAACCCATAGCGCCACACCAGGACTCCAAAAATATTCATAGATAACTATTCAGAAAACTTCTATGATACCAACTTGACAAATAGAACAAAGAAAACTCACTAAGGGAGAAATATTTTTTAAGCTCCCCACACACACACAAAACACCCACACCTTTTTTTTTCTATAGTTCAAACAATTTAAAAACAAGCTAGAAATATGTTCCTTAAAATATTTAATATCTGAATTTTGGTGCATTTTATAATTTAAAAACAACATTTACTTCTTCTAGGGTTTAATTTGAATGGCCTTTGTTTGAATAATACAAAGGAAAATATTGTGGTGTGTTGGTGTTAAAATTAGGGAGGCCTGGTGTTGCTGTGAGTTAGGCATTGGACTGCTAACCTCGAGGTTGGTGGTTGAAATCTACCAGTCATTCCATGGGAGACAGTTAGCTGCTCCCATAAAGACTAGAGTCTCCAAAATCCTATATAGGGGTGCTGGGAGTCAGAATCAATTCAGTGACAGTGGGTTTGGGGTTGGTGTTTTTGTTTGGTTTGGGTTTGGGATAAAAATTTAATGTACGATGTCTCCAACAGGATTTCATAAAGAATGCTTTACTTTTAGTAATTTAAAAGTCAGTAGTCCATCTACTAAAAATATCCTACTCCTAACATTTATTACAACTGGGAATTACTGAGCATACACTCTGAGATCCAATTTGAATTGGCTATAGTTAGGGTTAGGATGGTGTTCGAGGAGAATATTGAAAGTGCCATGGGCTGCCAAAAGAACCAATGGATCCGTCTTGGAAGAAGTGCAGCCAGAGTGCTCCTTGGATGCCAGGATGGCCAAACTTGGTCTCTCATACATTGGACATATTGTCAGGAGGATGGACCAGCTGATGGAGAAGGATATCATGTTTGGTAAGGTGGAGGGTCAGAGAAAAAGAGGAAGACCCTCAACGAGATGGATTGGCCAAGTGGCAGCATCGATGGACTCAAGTGTGGCAACAGTAGTGAGGTTGGCCCAGGATCGGGCAGTGTTTCATTCTGCTGTGCATAAGATTGCTATGAGTCGGTACCAACTCGATGGCACCTAACAACAACAACAGCATAGTTAGACATATAGTTTGGCAGGGTGGGTGGGGCACTGAGTGAAGGCTTACAGGGCAGATCACCAATTTTACATTCAGCAGATCACTGTAATGTTTACAGTCCCCTCCGTGCTCCCTTGTTGAGTCAGAACTGACTCAGCGGCATTCAGCAACACAGCAAGGGAGCATGGAGGAGATTGTAAACATTACAGTGATCTGCTGAATGTAAAATTGGTGATCTGCCCTGTAAGCCTTCACTCACTCAATACACAGTAAATGCTTTTGTAAAAAAAATAATAGTAATAATAGAGGAAGCTGAGTGTAGGATATGTAGGGACTGTACCAGCTTTACAACTTTTCTAGAAATCTAAAACTATACTAAAAAAGTTTATTTTAAAAACACACTAACTAAAATTTACAATCTAGAAAACTGAAGAAACTCATCTTTAATTCCACTTCTCTATGCAGCCCCTTTTGTCATTTTGATATATGCCCTTATATTTTTTAATATGCATAATTATAAAACCATTTTCTTATACTTTCGTATGTTGCTTTTGTTATTTAGTATTGCCTCATGAGTACTTTATCCACTTTTCTCTGTGGTCTTACCATCTGTCTGAACGGCTATGTAATATTACCACCTCTGACACAGAACCAGGAAAGGTGAGAACATGCCTGGTCGTGATTTCTGTGTGCATGACATGACATTACCACATATGAAATAGATTATGAAAGTGGAGGAGGGATAAACTTTATTGGTCCATGGAAATTGGGTAAGAGAATGAAAAGGGAAAGGAATAAATATGGGTAGGAAAGCTAAAATAGAATGATTTAAAATGCCAAATTCCTTTGTAACTTTCATCACTCAACGTAGAGGGAGATACGTACAGGGAGATGCTGGAAATCTAAAATGAGGATCACTTCGTTGTAGTGGGATGGTATATATAAGCCATGTCTCTGAAGACAGAATCCGTGACTAAGAGTGCATTTTGTCAGGAGATGTCAGGTGATGATTCTGAACAGGGCCAGTCACAGGCCCAGAATCCTGACTGCCAGACAAAACGGTTGTTGTTGTTGTTAAGTGCCGTCGAGTCGGTTCCGACCCATAGCGACCCTGTACAGGGTTTCTGAGGGTGTAAATCTTTACGGGAGTAGAACGCCTCATCTTTCTCCTGCGGAGCGGCTGGTAGTTTCGAACTGCTGACCTTAAGGTTCGCAGCCTGATTCGTAACCACTACGCTACCAGACAAAACGGTAGAGAGTTTAAATGGTTTGGTATGACCCTGTACAGGTCCCTGAATGGTTGATGAGATTAGGCTTTACGTCTCTGACTGGGAAATGGAAGCTAGTACCACCAGTGAACATTGGTGCTGGTGGTATGTGCTGTGGACTCGGTTCTGACCCATAGCAACCCTGTACAGGATTTCTGAGGCTGTAAATCTTTATGGGAGCAGAACGCCTCATCTTTCTCCCACGGAACAACAGCTGGTCGTTTCGAACTGCTGACTTTAAGGTTTGCAGCCCGATTGGTAACCACTGTGCTACCAGAGCTCCTTAATGTTAACTTGATGTTAACAAGAGCAGATTTGTGTCTTGTAAGGACTGAGTTTGTTTGTGTGTGGGTTGTGGAAGAGGAGATAATGTTGGTAGTAAAATTCAGGGTATGTGAGATTTGCGGTTTCAGTGAGACAGGGTGTGAAAATGCCCAGGAAGTGGTAGAAAAGGCAGCACTAGATGTTGATTTAGGGTTTCTGCACCAAGAATAGATCCGAGTGTCGAGAAAAAGAGTTCTTGTGGAAAATGAAAGAGGAGAGCCAATGGTGGAGCTCTGAGGGACACCGTTTCAGAGGCTGGAGAAAGGAATGGAGCTCAGCGTCAGACAGACAAGTAGCCAGAGACGGTACCTGTTGTGAAGACATCTGTGCTTTTCTTCTCAGCACCCACCATTCTGTAGTTCCACGTGGTAGATTAGACCATGCTCCGCTACGGTAGAGGCTACTGTGTCTCTTTGCACAGAATTGTGGCCTCAGTGCCTAGTATATAGTTGTCGGTAAGTGCTGTTTGGTCAGTTCCGACTCATAGTGACCCTTTGAAGGGTCTTTGAGGAGTGGCTGGTGGGTTTGAACCATTGACCTTACGGCTTGCAGGCCAGTACTTTTATCCTGTAGCGCCACACCAGGACTCCATTAGTACGTGGTTGT